TGGGGTTATTGTTGGTGACTTGATAATCGATCATTGGTTTATAGCCGGATCACTACTTGCCCCATTCCCAAACGTGCTTTTTCTCGCTGTGTTTGCCGCGGTATAGCTCCAAGGACATTTGCATGGAGAAATTGTTGTACGCGGATCAACAACTCGCCGACGATGGACGCCGATTTTGTCGAACGGGGCAGCGCGGGCTGGGAGCACATGACTTAATTATAATACATGGAACGTTGGATTTGACGCGTGAGCGATATCGAATTACAGTAGGTCGCACACACAACGGTGTACTGTACACTCCAGCGTATATCCTTCAAAGTAGACAAGGGGTAGAAAAGTGCACTGCAAATACGAGTAACTACTACATGTGGCTGCTGTAGCCCCATATCCTTGGATAGTTAGTACTACTGTAGTATTATTAATAGAAGTTGACTTTGGATAGTTTGCCAATATTACTGTAGTACTGTATTGCATGTAAGATTACGGTTCGTCCTTGTTTCGTCGACATGAAGACGGTGGTTCAAGTATACTCAGAATTTGGGTGGCTATATTGCTTTGTGTGTCATTAGTAATTATATATTCAACAGGGTTTGAGACATTAAATGAGGGTGGTTGATTGGTTGGTGGTCCCAACGGCGCAGGGTGTCGTTCGAGTACTGTACCCGTGGTATTGATGCATCCAAGCAAGCAATTTGTCTAGAGAGCCCTTACAGTAACGTTAGTTGTACCAATATGGGCTGCTTTACTACAGTGCTCAGAGCATTGTATCTCCTTCTGAGCTCCCATACTCGTGAATTCATGCCCTCCTAACTGACACGAGTACACCGTATCGCGCTCGTTTGCGTCCAAGACACCTTGTCGTGTCCGCTCCACGTCCATGTGCCTGCATTCTTCCACTTTCGCTGGATGGGTGCCTTCCATCGGCTGTTCCTGTCTTTATAGAGTCATCCAAGTACTGTAACCACACAATAGCTTCGGCCGCATCTACATGTACCGGTACAGCAGTGAGGGGGCAGTGTGAGGCGCGGGTGCAGTCCACCAAAGTACCTTGAACTCAGATTCGAGCCACCTTAATCGCCGATATTGTGCTAAGTGCAACCCGTGTGGTCAACCCACCACCCAAGCTTCACTTGACCTGTTGATTGCACTTTTGAATTCGCTTGCTATGGCGCGGCCCATCGAAACAACCAGCGAAGCAACCGAACGCCCCAATGACGCGACGTATCTTGTTATGCCATCAACGCCTCGGCACGATCAGGACGATGTCGACCGCCCAGTCCCACTCCGTACGTCTGGTGAGAGAACCACGTCTCAAGTGTAACTCCATTTTTTAAATTAAATGCGGGCGGTAGGGGCCTATCGTCAGATGTTCATTGTGCTTGCCATCGTGCTGGTGTGCGGCACTGTCGCCACAGCCCTGGGGGCGGCGCACTTTGTCTTTGTAACCAAGGTCGACAACCAAGCCAAGGCGATCTTGTCGGGGCTGCAACATACTCCTGGAGTGTACGTGACGCTCACTGTGAAGCGCGCCAGTATGAGGTTGAACGGGGTGTCCACGGCCGAAGCGTACATCTTTCCTCGAGGAGGTCCAAATTTGGATGGCGCTCTTTTGTTCGATGCGGTCTTGACGCATCGCAATGAAGACGTGATGACCACGTACACGCTACTCAACAGTCGCGCGTATGTGTCAACTTCGTCCGTCAGCACTGGCACCATCATGCACGTGAGCTGTCTCGAAGCGTCGCAAGTGCCCCCCATTCACATGGTCCGTGTTGCGATATTCCGTGTTGACGTTTTAAACGTTTTCATTCGGTAGATGGCATTCAGTTTGACTACGTCGACGGTGCTGGATGAAGTCCAAGGCACGGCACAACCATTGTGCGACAACGGCAAACTCCTCCAATTGTCGTTTGCTGGGGAAAATTTTGTGTTTTGCACCGCCCAAGATAGCAAACTGCAGCGCGCCGCGAGCGACGACCTTGACATGGTGATTCAATACGTGTCAGACCCGACTTTGCTTCCAGACTTGGTGACCCCTTGGAATGGCACTGCGACCCCCCTTGATTGCCCCGTTGTGGTGTCTTCGGGCATCCCACCCACGCCCGTAGCCCCCACCTACATGGAGACCGCATCGATGGTGTACAACGCCGCCACGGGACCCAAGCGATCCTTCATGATGGGCAAATTGTCGTGTGAGTGCCGTCGAGCCAAGCAACCTTGCTTGTTTGTCCATGGCCTCGGCAATTCAAAAGCCGGCCCGATGGTCGACACATTCAAGAGCTACTGGGGCAAAATCCACGAGCATTCTCCGTGTTGTTCCTCGACAAAGTTTGTCCAGTTCGACACGGTGACCCAAGGATGGACCGACCCCAACTTGCAGCGCGAGTTCTGCACTGCTGCCCTTAAAATCAGTCAGGGGGAGTCGCAGTCCACCGTGGGCAGTTTGATCCTCGTGACTCACTCGATGGGAAATCTCCTTGCCGGGGGGGCGGTGGCCAGTGGCATGTGTCAATTCAGCTCGAGGGTGACGTGGATGTCGCTGGCTGGTCCAATGCAAGGCAGCCAATCGACCAACTTAGTCGCCTCTCGGTGCGCAGCTTCGAATAGCTGGTTTGACCGGGCGTTCGCGGATGTGTTGGGGCTGACAGGGCTCTGCCCATCGCCACGAGCATACGTTCAATTGCAGCACCAGTCTACGGTTGGAGCCGACATGCAGGCCAAGTACCAGCAGGCCCAAGCCGTCCGTCGTACTCACGGCGCTCGAGTCCTCTGCGGCACCGACCCCTTTGGAATTGGGTCGCCCATGTCCATTGCACTGGCCTCTGTTGGCGCCATCTCAGGCCATGCCGATCGTGCGCATGATGGAGTTGTGGATTTGACTAGCTGCATGGCAGGGGTCAGTACTTCTGGGGCGGGGGCTGACTCGTCGGATTATCACTATCGGGCAGCTATCAACCACCTGGACACATCGTTTCGACATGGAGATGGCTGGTGGGGAAATGACCGCAAGCCTCAAAAGTGGTTTGAATGTGCATTATAGAGTTAGTAGCACTCCGCGGTAGTTAACTTGTGTGTACAGTACATGAAATCGTGAGATTGCTTACAGTATCGGCAGCAGAGTTTGTGAATAGTGCTTCATGATGCGGCAAACTTTACAAGAATGTGTCCACAACCTCACCCCCGACCTCCAATTAGCCACCAACTAACTATACGATCCTCACTTCCTCAACCCCGGCAACCAACAAACCGTCGCAACGTCGGTCATCATATGACGATTTCTCCTCGCTCTGGGGCCCCAATGTTATCCCCACCATCCAATGTCGACCCTTCGAAAGCTAAGGGTAAACGAGAGTTTAGGTTGTAGGGACAAGTCTTGGGCCCTGGGTGGTGGACTTCGCCGTGATAGAGTTGTCCTGGCCTCGGCTAGTGTC